AGTTATCGTTACCAAATTCATGTTTATCACAAAAATCTCCATTTCAACAACAACGTCATGAATTAAGTTCAAGTCACACTAATATCAGTAGTTCTATCAGTGAGCCAACAGAAACATTTTCAGCGTTAAATATTAAAGCTCGTTCACTGGATTTAACTGTTCCCAGTGAACATTCTGTATCCGAATCTACTATTTATCCACAAATAAGTCGCTCACATAGTAAACGTCGTTTAGAACGGTCAGTACTAGCTATACTGTATATATTTTATCTAATCAAAGAATTTTCTTCCGTTTTCTCTTTTAGAATGTTAACAATCGATATGGAAGATACACCTAATTCAAATTCACAAGATAAAGAATCGTCAGAAGACAAACACATGTCATCTCCTCCCGTTGATGTCGCAAAAATAACATTTAGTATCGATCAACATTTTGATACCATTGAATCACCCTCTGATGAAACTAGAGAAGAAGTTAACATTGCATCAATAACAATAACAAATCCTGCGCCGGTCCTATCCACAAAAGCGAGCAATGTACGATCTCATTTACCACAAAATTTGACTGTGGACGATGCATTACAAAGTGAATTTATTGAACGAAATTTTCGAAATCCTCTTCAATATTCATATTCTGAGCAAATATCCAACAAGCAATTAGATCAATCACCAGATCATCAACAATTAAATCAATCAACTACCCTCATACCCTATCAACGTCAATATCCTCCGCCAACTGATACAATGAATTCATGTTTGAAACAATTATTACACCCAGTTCATCGTCTTCAGCCTACAACACAGATTAAACAACAAACCATCGACAGAATTTTAACGCCAATGGTATTTCCATCGCTTCTTCGCGGATCAGTAACACCATTTTCAGCTGCTTCGGATCCTGGACAATATCAGTCGTCTGCATGGACAACACCCAATCCTTATGCGTTAGTGAATTTTCGTTTTCCAAAATCACAAGAACCAATGGTGGCAAATGCACAAGGATCTATAGCACAATTATCGAATTTGACAAAAATTCTATGTGATGAACCAAGCGTTTTTACTCCCATAACTCCAAGGTATAATGAATCATATCGATTCCATTTTAAAATTATTCCTTCTCGTTATTTTATTTTTCTAGATTCAAAATAGAAGCTCAGGAGCCACCTGCTGACCAAATCCCAGCATGCCAAATATGTCGGCAACGATTTGATTCAAGACAAATGTAAGCCTTAAATAAAATTGAAATAATTTAATTCATTGATTCATTGTTCTCCTTCTAGGTATATAGCACATTATCGGAGTCATTTACAGAGTACTGCTGGAGATGATAAAACTAATGTATCAGACGGTGAGAGAATAGATTCACGAAGTTATCAGTGCAAAATTTGTTTTAAACGATTTTCAAGGTATTGTCGATGTAAAACTAGTCTTTTAACTTTTTTCATCTTCTCTTTACTGTTTTCAGGAGTGATATGTTAAACAGACACCTTCGTTTGCATTCTGGTATACGACCATACAGATGTACAATGTGTAATACACATTTTTCGAGAAGTGATCATTTAAGTACACATTTGCGTACGCACACAGGTTTGTGGCAAAAAACTAGTTAGTTTTCGTCTTCTTAAATCATTTTATTTTATGTTTTTACTAGGTGAAAAACCGTACGCTTGTCCAGAATGTTCCTATGCAGCGTGCAGACGAGATATGATCACAAGACATCTGAAAGTACATAGTAAACAACGAAATGAACGAAAAAATGCTACATCAAGTATGGGTAGTAGTCAAGATTCTGTAGGATCGAATGGATGAAAATTTGTATAGAGTAAAAAAAAGGTTTTAAAATGTACTCAACGAATCTGATCATGTTGTGCATACAAAAGAAGTTATAATCAAATTAGATATGACTTATACCTCTAATCGAAAAAATTTCAGTAGTTTAATACCCCGGTAAACGACAATATTCTAGTCATATTCAGGACGCTGGCGTCTGGTTTTTTTGTCTTCTGTTTAATTATAGTCTACTTCTAACGTATTCTGAAGTTTTCCTAGAGAATTTATCAACGGCAAATAACAGTATCCCTGAATCAATTTATTTGTATTTCTTCAAACGTCTTATGTATATATATGTTTCTTTCAAAAAAACAAAATACGTTTACTATCAAAAGAACCCGGTTTTTCTGTTTTTTCTTGATTATAGTTTCGATTTTTTTAAATATCGAATTTATTTTTTTATTCCCGACAAAAGTTTATGTTTACATTTGTTTTTTCCTTGTTTGTTCCAGAGCGCATGAGCTCTAAAATTGCTATAGTCTGATCTCAATAAGCGATTTTTGTTTGATTGATAAACAAAAAACCTATAAGTGTGATAATAGTGATAGAAGACTACATCGTGACAAAAGTCTTTTCCCCTATTTAGAAGGCTAACATCACGATGAGTTGATTATTCTTCAAATTAATATTTCAAAATTATGTATCCTAGTGTCTCTAATTTAGTTATAAGGACAGTTCCTAATAAAATGAGTATAGTTTTATCTCACTTTTAGACCTGAATTTATTAGTGAATATTCCGAGAAGAATGCTCGGAAGTGAAGTGATCTAAGAGTACGACATTCATTCTTCTGTTTGTCCTTTTATTCTATTGTTTTTACGGGTGGTTAAATATTTTTCAAAAAGTATTTTTCTTCTCTAAATACGTTCTGTTTTTTTTTTTTTGTTATATATATGAAACTGTTAAATAAATTTTTAATTAAATCCAAAATATGAATCGGAGAAACAGTTTTGTGACTAAAAAATTATAAAAGTTCGAATGGGTGCTATTTTTCAGTAATACAGTTAATTTGGTTCTCAAAATCATGAATCCTAGATCTTCTGATTTGAAACTTTTTCTGCCTCGTTTCTGCTCTGTTTTGTTCAAAGGTCTACGGATCTTTCTGATTTTGGATTTTTATTTTCCGATATTTCTTGCTTTAAATCTGGTATTTAAAGCCAGCCTGAATAGGGAATTCAGGCTGCAATCTTTGTTCAAACTCGCTTGAGATATTTTTGTTTAGAAAAAAAAGAAACACAAAATAATCTTTCAGTATTACAAATACATTTCTTTCAGTAAACTTGATTTATGTTTTAAAACAGAAAATCTAAATCTGAATTCAACTCATCTATATGAAGAAGAGAAAAAGGATTTCATTATTTCAACGACTATTGAAGTCAATATTCTGATTTAAAACTAAAAGTACAGCCACAAGAAAGAGCGTGCTTCCTCCTTTTTCCGGAGTCAAAATATTAGTGTGTTTATCTATTCTTTTTTTTTGTTCTGTTCGTGAATTTTCTATATGCTATTTAAATAGAGCGTTACAGGAATAGATATTATGTTTAATTCATTGCTTTTATTTCTCTTACGTCATTCTGCCTACAAAGCGCTTTATCTATGCTAGTTTAACTTTAGTGTCAAAGAGAAGAACAGTACGTAGTATAAGTGAAATTAGCGTAAGATTTATTATCAAAATTCAACAAAATAATCACGAAAAAAAAGAGCTATGACGTTATAGTTGTAAAATAAAAAGAACAGGGGCGTATTAGACAGCGAATCGGCCCACTCGGATTTCCATTTTCAATGACCAAATTTCTGAGAAAAGTCACATTTCAATTATTCACTGTCATTCCCGAGCGAAAAAAGTAAAACAAGGGTGGAAAAAATATGTGAAGGACGGGGGCGCATCAGAGAGAGAATCGGTCCATTCGGATTTTTTTCACTTCTAAACCTAGAGAGACTGAATTTTGAGAAAAATCCACTAATTCAGCTAGAACTATACAAAAGTAAAATACTCCGGTCTTCCTTAAAACCCACACAAACTACTTGGAACTCTTAGAATATGATCAGAAGAGTATATTAAATAGTTAGAATACCAGAACAACTCTAAAATGATATATTCCCTTACAATGGATCTCTAGAAAACCTTTGGAAATCCCAATAATGAGAAAATAGATGTTTTTACTCTTCTAACTCTATCAACGTTTATATCAAGGAAAAGTGAGTATTTTCTGAGAGTTTCAAATGGTTTGGAAGGATTTTAAGGGAGACTGAAGTGTTTTACTTTTGTACAGTTCCAGCTGAATTGATAGATTTTCCTCAAAACCCCGGTCTCACTAGGTTTACACACCTTTTCCTGGAAAGAAAACATAGCCACAAGATTCAGTATGGTCGATAACCTATGTTTCAATTTACTTTAGAGATTACTCGGGTCAACTAATACAAGTCTAGGGACTCCCAGCAAAACTCATACCACGGCTAAAACTGCAGAGGCTAAACCTACTGATCAAGCTATCGTAGGCAGCTTACTTTGTAGAAAATTCGACGAGCTTTAAAATGGTATATAACATAAAATGTACTTGTTTTTTTACTAGTGTAATAAATAGTAAAAACGAGAAGTATGTCATATTTTTCCCGAATCGGTTTACTTCTGGTCCATAACAAAAATCGGTTCAAAAACAAATGGTAAAAATGAGTCGGCTATCTTGTAAAGAATTTCATGCTCTATCAAAATATATATAAACTGAGATGCGACCTGACTTTTAAGTACACAAAAAAATTAAAATTTTGTGAATCTTTATCCCATTAAGTATGCGACCATATAAAAGTGTGGTCTGCCAGTTTTTAATTAATAGCAGTGAAGATATGATTTAGATGTCTTTCAATTCAGTTTTTGATCTTCTATCTAACAGTGACTGAATGAATCTTATCTACGGTTTTAGTCAAGAGAAATAATTAAATTACTAGTTGGATGGGATATCAAGATGATGATGATGAAAAAATAATTTTTGTCACCCTTTTTTTACTTTTTTTCGTTCGGGTAATGACAGAGAATAATAGAAACATGACTTTTCTAATAAATTCGATCATTGGAAATGAAAAAATCCGTGTGAGACTATTCTCACTCTAATGCGTCCCCGTCCTTCATGTATAGAATTTCTAGTTTAATGTTATTGTGAATTGATAACTTCAGTTTAAGATTCTTCTTCGTCTTCCTCCTCGGGATAATCGTCAGCTTCATTCAATTTATCTGAGTTATTACTATCGCTGTCTTCATCGTCTGAGTCTCTTCTCGGCTTCGTTCGATACCTAAAAGAAATGATATACGTATTAGCTTTTCTATGAATTATCCTATTTTCAACTGTTCGTACTCAAGATCGACTTTTGATAAGGAACGTAGAGTTGAACGATTATTATTTATCAATAATTTTTCTGTTGTTTGCTGGATTAAATATTCCTGAAAAACAGTAACAAGCCCCATGACGTATTATTCTTTTCAGAATACGAGATCAACATAACCTTTTTGAATAACTTCTAACAAAGACAGATAGAGAGTTGCGGTTTTCGCCATTCGAGAGATATTGTTTGGTTAGCAAAATGAATTTCAAAATCGTTTTTGAAAGCAGGTTTTCTAGGAGATCTTCGCGAAAATAAGTCATGCCTCCATAACTTTAACTAAGAGTATTTTCATTTTTTTCATGGATAGGTAGACCAGAAGAGTATATTGTTCAAAATGAGAGTTAAGTGACACCTTGATTTTTAGCCGTTCTGGCGTGGTATCGGATTCTCTTGGGGCTTTAGGATTTGGTAGCCGCCGGCATAGGATAATCTTGAAATCGCATAAAACATACATAATCAACCATACTGAATCTGATGACGATGTTCATTGGAAGAGAATTCCAAAACCTGGTGAAAATTGAGTTTTACCAAAACTGAGATTCTCGGGTTATTCTCACCTAATACTAAAACATTTACAATTCACTCATAAAACATTAAAACCAGTTGAAAACTACAGAATGTAAAATAGTTATGTCATTCTACATTCTATAGATTGGTAAATCTACTGAAATACAACCTATAAAAATGTACAAACCTAAGGCCTCTACAAAACCTTTGGCCAAAGGTATGAACTTTCAATTTTTTCAATCCAAGAATCACTTTTAGCGCACAAAATTAACCATATCTTGAACTTTTCAACTGGTTTTAATGTTTTATGAGTGAATTGTAAATGTTTTAGT